AGATTAGTTATTACTCAAGAGACAACTCATTTATCAGATGTATAATCGTTTGTAGATTGTTCCAAGTTTAAATAATAGTTATATAATATTTGTAAAATTAAGAAATTACTTGCCATAATAAACAAACGATTATCCATCTGATAAATGACTATAGTGTCTTGAGAAAGAATAAATCCGCACTCTGCTGCTAGATGGCGCCACGCTTAGAATAATTTAATTGTTTTTTTGGTAATTATTTGACCATTCAAACTAATTTTAAACAACTAATTGCTTTTATAATAATCTACAAACGACTTTCTGTCTATTACATTATTTTTCATCTGAAAATAAATAATTTACATAGTAATGTCGGCTATTGTCATGCCCAAAAATAATTAATTAATTTGTGAACTATTTAATTGGCCTAAAAAAACTGGACCAATTAAAATCCTCTATTAATCAACTACAATCGATCAGATATTCTCATTATTCTTATCAAAATATTTGTCGACCTACCACATGGTTCGATGTAAGTTTATGATGAACCAATAAATGCTATCATAATCCTTTTATGTTTAAATACCAGCTCCTAGTAACACAACAGTATGTGGCTCAAAAAATTGGCATTTAATTAAACCAATACAACTTTATGAAAATTTCTACTTCTATCTATATCAAACCATTCCTCCTATTCTCTGAAAAAAATAATAAAATACAAATTATATTGCGCCATCTTTTGTATTAAATTAATAACTCACCCCGTTTTGAACTAGAATTCTAAGCAGCAAGATGCAACACCCATTACGAACTTGTTTTTATATTGCCTAATTAAAGGGATATAAACAGTATTTTCAGAATTACAAATAACATAATCATAATGAATATTATGTTTATTTAATTTTTGTTATTATCAACATTAAACCAAGGTTTTTAATTGTTTCCTTTATAAATATTTATTATAAAAAATTATATGTTTACATAGGTAGTCAATATTAAGTTAAATTATTTTATATGTTATATTAACATAATAATATAGGAGCATTCAATTGTATTATACATTGTAATTGTATTGAAAAAATACAGCAGGTTTATACAACGGTCATTGTAATTTCCTCTTTCCTTGTTTCCCAAGTTTTCTTTGTTTTTCATCGATTACCTAAGTGGTGCCTATTTTTATTAAGTATATCACTGTATGATATTCCCAACGATCTGTTAAATCTAACGTTTTTGTATATATTTTCGTTGGTGTTTACATTCAAGGTGTTTATTGTTTTCGTAAAATTTCACGACAGCTGCGGAACAGAAGGGAATGAATATTCAGATGGTCTAACCAATAAGTAAAAAGTACAGATACTCATATTCATTGGTCTAATTTAATACTAAAACAGTTTTTGACGCATCGTGAAAGATTTTCAAGTTGTCTTGGAACTTGAACAAATATTTATGGAAAATCGTTTTGAATACATTCAGTTTGTAATATATTTATTCAATAATTAATGAATCACCCTATACGTAACAATCTAACTTGAATCGGGGTCACTTTGTTTGCCCTTATAAGGAGTTAAACGAAATTTTTGCCATAAACAGAAACAGATACAGAATAACAGTTGCATAACTTCTTCAGAATGGATTCAAGGCATGTTATTTTTGGAATATATCTAAAATATTTATTTATGAAGGAAAATGTTTAAATATTCGGCATTTTTCTGAAAAACCACTCCTTATCAATCATTTCTTATCTCTACACTCATACTTGAAATAATATTGGTAGAGTTTGAAAAAACAGCTGTGCCAGGAATGGGTGTGTCTAAAGATAACATTCATACGGATTTATATATCTAGACAAGACTGGAGAAATAACGATTAATAATCGCAAGTTAAACCACAAATTGTAAAAACAATATTTATTTAATAAAGCAACCCATTAGTGGATTGCAAAGAACATGATGCAGACACGTATTGTACATCATGGATAAATATATTAGGACCGTATTTAGGGAAGTATGCTTTGGCGATATGTTAGAGGACTATAATATTATCCATATATTAAAAAACTGCAAGAATTATCGAGGAATCAGTTTAATATCATCTATAAGCAGAGCATAGCAAAAATATTAACGAAAATTTAGCAATACATTTGAAAGGCATATCTTTAAATCACAGCACAAGAGAAACTAAATACATCTAAATACAGTAGACCAGAGCAATGATGTCGAAAGGTTGTGGCAACAAATGAAAAAATCAATTACGGAGTCAGCAGAACTAACAACAGGAAAAAGCAGGAAGAAAACAAAAAAAAAAGGTTTGAGAGAATGTCAAGAAAAACTACATGACAGACACCAAAAGGATGGAAAAAATATATATTTGAGGGTGGACCTATTGAAGACCTATATGAAACAGGTTTTCATCTTTCTCTTATTTCTTCATTTCTGATTCTATCAGTTCTTTTTACTCCGATCTTTCTTCTGAGGTATTTCATCTCTGCTGCCTGAATTCTGCTCTGATGTCTTTTGTTTAATATCCAATTTTCTGCTCCATATGTCACTGTAGGTCTATATATTGTTTTGTATATTGTCATCTTGGTCTTTGTTGATATTCTTTTGTTATTAAGGAATCTTCTATTTAGTGCTTGAATTAGTTTTCCTGTGTTTTCCATTCTATTGATAAGATCGTCCTCGATGTCTCCTTTGTTGTTGATTAGTGTTCCTAAGTATTTGTATGAATGTGTCTGTATTATTTTTTGTTGGTCTATAATTACTTCTATTTGATCTTCCGTCCCTTGTTTCCTTGATGTTTTCATTATCTGAGTCTTCTCTTTGTTTACGTTTAAGTTGTATTTGCTTGCTTCTAGGTTCCATTTCTCTAAGTTGTATTTCAGTTTTTTTGCTGTTTCCGCAAATAATACTATGTCTTCTGCAAATATACATCTCAGCGTTTATCATTTGCATTCTGTTCTAACCGATGCAGTATTTCTTGAATGTTTTCTTACATTCTTTCACTATCTCATCTATTACATTTATGAATAGCACTGGGCTGAGACTTCCCCCTTGTCTAACTCCTTGAGTGGTTTTAAAGGGTTCTGACTATATATTTAACATTCTTACTGTATTTGTTGTTTTCATGTATATACTCTTTGTTGCTTCTATCAGTTCTTCACTTACTTGCTTCTTCTTTAGGTCTTCCCATATATCTTTTCTTTTGACTGAGTCGAATGCTTTTTCCATGTCTATAAAGCTCAGATATAGCTCTATTTTTCTTAAGGCATTTTTCTGTTCTTGTGCATGGTGAACATAGGTCTTGTGTGCTGTGTACCTTCTGATCTACTTGGACTCCTCTATTTACGTTCTGTATTTGTTTCTGATTGTCCTTTCTATTATGGTTTCGTATACTGCTTTGTGCTACATTCTCTGGGTATTACTTTTCTCTTCCATATTAGGTTATATATGTATAACAATTTTCTTTGCTTTTACTCCTATATATTTTATCATTTCTGGTGCTACTTCATCGCTTCCTGCTGCTTTTCGAATCTTTATCTTTCTTATTGCTTCTTCCAGTTCTTCTTTTTCTAAAGTTTCTGGATTTTTCGTGTTTCTCACGGATACACTCTTGATGTGGTTTTTTTTCTCCATTGTATTCGCTTGATTTCCATTCAATATCAGCTGGAAATGTTCGCTCCATCTTTCCATTATTGTCTTATTGTCGTTTATTATTGTTCCGTCCTTGTTCATTATTTGTTTCTGTTTCGTTTCCTCGTTGCTTCTCAGGTTTTTCAGTGTTGTATAAAATAATTTTACGTTTTCTTCCATTTTTTCTCCGAATTTTTACCAACTTTTCTCTTTCTTAACTATCTCTTTAACTTTTGTTCTTTGTCTCTTATAATTTTCATATTTTTGTTGTGTTTTGTCTTGTATGGATTTTTTCCATAATATTTTCTTTTCTGTTATTTCTCTTTTCACTTCATCGTTCCACCAAGATGTTCGTTTCCCTCTGTTGTTATTTCTTGTATTTCCACATATTGATTTTGCTTTTTTTATCATCGCATTTTTGAATTTTTCCCATTCTTCTTCTATTGTTTCTGTTATTTCATGATTATTGTCCAACTTGTTGTTTCTTCCCTCAGCTTATAAATTTTTATTATTTCTTTATGTTTTCTGTCTATGTTATCATATATTTTTATTTCTTTTCTTTTGCTTTTGAATGTACTTTCTAGTGATCACTACCAATTTAATAACTCCTTTTAACCCTTACGTGTCTTATCCAGTTTTTTACCTTTATCTTCTCTGTTTTTTGCACTACAGTTTAGGTTATAATTGATTGTTCGTCTCTTAATTTAACTTCTCTTGTGATCTTGTGTATCCTTTTATGTTGGAAGTGTGTGTTCATGATCACCAGGTAGTAATTTTCCATTTTTGTTTATTTTTTCCTCCCCATATGGTCCGATCACATTGTTTCATTTTTCTGCCTCTTTTCCCACTCTACTGTTCATGTCTCCTGTGATCACAATTTTCTCTGTACAATCATTTATCACTTCTTGTAATTTGTCCCAGAACTCATTCTTTTCGTTTTTTGTTGCGTCTTCATCTGGTCCATAGCATATGATTAGGTTTGTATCGGTTTCCGCTGTATTCATATTTATGTCTACTCTTAGTATACGTTCGTTGTAATATATCCAATTTTTTACTTTGATGATACTGTCCTTCTTTATTATGCACGATAATCTTGCCTGAGCTCTCTTCATTTCTTCCATTGGTCAGTATAACTAACAGAAATTTGTAATATTTTATCACTGGTTTACTGAGACGTAGAAGATAAATAAAAGATTCGTCTGCTACCTAGCAGAAAATAATATTCGTAGCACACCTGCATACAAATTTTTATTCATTAAATCTAGTAACCCGCAACATCGTACTCGTAGTCACGCCAAACTCAAACAGGCAATGTTTCACTAACAACTTTTACTATTTTGACAGCGAATATTTACAACAAATTTGTTAAAACTGCGGTCGTGCAACATCGCAGTTGACTCATTTGGGTGTTTCTTTTTCTTTGATTTAATAAAAATTATAAGCGTATTAAATTAACTAAATTTGCTTTGAAATACAAAATCTTTAATCCCACATAAAGGTAAGCTATTAACATTATTTAAGGCAATTTGGGCGTTGACCAATTAAAAACTCATTTGCTGCATATTTTATTAATTTGATGTACATTATTTGTACACGTACCATAATTATAATAAAAACGTTCGTTGTTATAGTAAAATATCACAAGTGATTGATCTAACCTAACCTATTTCTGGCAGATTCATTAAAAACATCTACTTTTTCGTTGTAGAATCATGTCTTCCCGTAAAACAGTAAGCCGCCGTGGTACCACCAAAAAACGTGCACAAAGAGCCACATCCAATGTATTCGCAATGTTCGATCAGGCTCAGATTGCTGAGTTCAAAGAAGCCTTCAATATGATTGACCAAAACCATGATGGCTTTGTAGATAAAGAAGATTTACATGATATGCTTGCTTCCTTAGGTAAGATATTAAATTCTGGAATAATTATTTTTTTCATAAATTAAGATCTTTTAAATATATTTGTCAATGTTAAGTTGTTAATAGTATATTTGAGTTAAATTTCCGTCCATGATGTCATGCATTAAAGTGTATTGGTGAGAAATATTTAAGAATTACATAAATCTTCATACATCTTCGTTTTGAGCCATCATTTTTCCAACTTAATGAAAGCATTTTTATATATGTCCAACTTCTAAATCAGGCAATAAACAAGACAAAAAAATTATCTAAGCATGTGTAAACAATCCTCTATACCAAACCTTTTCGATAAACTACTGCAGGATCAATTAAAATGTTATTGTAAAAAGTGGTCAATACACAATTAACATGGATTTTCTCAGAAGAAATCAATGGTAACAAACTTAGTACTCTTTGAACAAAAAATATTAAAAGCATTGGAGAAAAAAGTCAGATGGACACTACTTATCCTGACTTCTCCAAGGCATTTGACAGAGTAGATCATAAAATCATATTAGAAAAATTAAATGCCTTTGGTGTCAGTCATCAATTCTTATAATGGTTTATCAGCTTTTTAAGAGACCACCCACAACAAGTGAGAATAGGTTGTTTTAATTCATAATAATACATGCAATCAGGAGTACCCAAGGAGCTCAGTGTTCACCTTTGTTATTTAATATGTGTGTGAACAATATATCAGTGTTTTTTCGATTACGATTTCCTGGTGCAGACGATTTGAAATTATTTACTTAAATCTGTAGATTCAAATGATGATATATCTTAAATTCAAGAAGATTTAGACCAGTTGAGTATTTGGTGAGGAAATAATATTTTGTATTTAAATGTTGCTAAATGCTGCTATATAAGTTTTTATAGACATATTAAAAAATATGATACTTCTTATACAATAAACGATAATGAATTATCTGATGTCGAAACAATAAAAGACAGGAGTCACATTTAGTTTGATGGACAGGTCTGTTTGGTACAATATATAAATGTAACTAATTCATTACAATCTTTAGGTTTTATCATTCGCAACTGTATGAGACTATCTGTTTGGGGTTTAAGAATGGTTTATTATGCTTTGGTTGAATCTAAAGTGGAATATGCATCTATTCTATGGTCTTTTCATTATCAAGTTCATTCTACTACATTCTAGAGATTGCAGGACAAATATTGTGCTTATAAATTAAACATATGCATTATTAATCATCTTATTCTTCAGATGCAAATCCACTAATGGATGTTAGCGATCACATTTTCCATTAATTCTCCGTTTCTTGCAATATGTATCAGAGATTGTATGTCGTTAATCCCTGCCATTGCCTTATGTTTCGGAGCCAGGACATTTTCTTGCGTCCCATTCTTCTCTTACCTTCAATTTTACCCTCGATTATAAGTTGGAGGAACTGGTATTTTTCATTTCACATGATGTGACCTAGATACACCGTTTTCCTTTTCTTGATGGTTTCGAAAAGTTGGCGTTCTTGGTTTATTCTTTTAAGGACATCTATATTTGTGATTTTCTGTATTTTTTTGATTCTTAATCATGATTATACAGATATTTTAAAAATCCTCAACATGAATTTATTAAAAACCCGATGAGATATCTCTGAGTTAGTATTTTTATGTTTGAAATTATAAATGGTTTAATTTGTTGTCCTGAACTTGTCCAATCTATTAGTTTATATATACCCTCCATAAGTCTCAGATATTATGTTGATCTATATCCCTTTTCACTGTACAAATTATGGTATACATTTAGCCATTTACCCATTGAGTGAACATTCAAAAATTATAAATAGGAACAATTTAGAAATATTTGGTGTCTCGTTGGCTTCATTTAAAAATCAGATAAAAAGAGATTTACACATTATTAGTACTTTTTTTATTTATGTTAATTCGTTTGGTTTCATATGTAATTAAAGTTTTGTTTTGTTTCTAATTAAGATTTTAATTTCACTTAGTTTATAAGCAATTGGAGAAATTGATTTTTACACTATATGTTAACATACATATCTTTTGTAATGGGGGTAAAAAATAAATCAAGAAGATTTTGACAATTTCTTCACTTCACTCTAATAATCTGATATTTTCTTACACCATTTCTGAATTCCATATATTATATATACCAAAATACAACTAATGACATAATGTGTATTTTTCAGGTAAAAACCCAACTGATGACTATCTAGATGGCATGATGAATGAGGCTCCTGGTCCCATAAACTTCACCATGTTCCTAACTCTCTTTGGAGAACGTCTCCAAGGCACAGACCCTGAAGATGTAATCAAAAATGCTTTCGGCTGCTTTGATGAAGACAACAATGGTGTCCTCAATGAAGAACGTCTCAGGGAGCTCCTCACATCCATGGGTGATAGATTCACTGATGACGAAGTTGATGAGATGTACAGGGAGGCTCCTATTAAGAATGGCTTGTTTGATTATGTTGAATTTACTCGCATATTGAAGCATGGGGCTAAGGACAAGGATGAGCAGTAAAAAGCGATATAATTGATGATGAAAGGATTTGTAATTAATATGGAAAGATGTCTTGTTTGAATGGTTTAGATTTTTATTCCATTTTTGTGATTAGAAATATATGAAATTGATCATATGGGACCATTAATTCTTATTGGAAACTGAATTTTGTCTTATTGTATGATTAGAATATCTCTTGACACATAGGTTTATATCATCATTGAATAAAATTGCAAAGATGGAGTTGAAACTACTGACAATGGTTTGTTTTGAATGAATCAACTGTTTGATTCTGTGTACATCTGGTTATCGTACTTAACAGTTCTTGCTTGGTGTTCTAAAGTATTCCTTGAATGTTTTAAATAAAAAACGACATTTTGTATATTAAAATACAAATCCACTTGCATGTTATCACTATAGAATCGATATGTTTCCTTCAAAGTATTTTTAGCATTGTTAGTCAGCTTATTTTGGGTTTTTATTTACAACTTTTTGGCAACATTTTATTTATTTATAAGATTTATTGTAATTATAAATTTTATACCTTTATATATCATGTAATTTTATTATTCATTAAAATATTGAACCATTTGCGTTTGTATTTTTGCTGAACTGAAATGTTGGGAAGATGTTGAAATCTCGATGTTTTATACACACATATCAGATTATACACTGAAAGATCTCTAAGAAAAATGGTTTTAATGTTTATTATAGTCAAATGTACACCTTTGTAAAATCACAAAGACTAAACTGGCTTGGTCACCTAGAAAGAATGCCAGATAATCGAGCTGTAACAGTAGTCCAAAGATGGAAGCCCCAAGTAAACAGAACAAGAGGAAGGCCTCGTAAAAGATGGATAGACGACATAGAGAGGGATCTTAAAACCATGAACATCAGGCAGTGGAGAAGGAAAGTATCCGGCAGGGCAGAATGGAAGAACATTGTTAAGCAGGTAAAGACTTACAAAAGGTTGTAGCGCCATTAGAAGAAGAAGAAGTACAGCTTTGGCCAGCAACTCTAGTTGCAGGTTTCCAAACTGGTTCTGTCAAGATTTAATCCATAAAATTAAAAAGAAAAATAGTCTGCATCGTTTGTGTTTAAATAAAGCCTCAGGGAGCCCAAAGAGTGTTGAATTTCAGCTTTTAAGAATTGATATTAAGAACCAAACCAAATATGTGCATAACTTTTACAAACGTTCACCTGAAAACCATCTACTTGCTGACCCAAACAAATTCTAAACTTTCTTAAAGTCAAAATATAAGAATAGTGGAATTCCAATAGAAATGACATTATTCCAAAGAAGTTCTTTGGAACCTTGGGAAGACATATACCTGACAAAAGGGCAACTTGTGCCGTGTCTTTTACATCGCATGACTCATCTATACCAAGTAATAAGGCGTAGAAAAGTTGAATATCTTCCACCTGCAAATATATTACATTTGAAGACATTTTAGCTACTCTATCTTGTACTGTTTTAGCGGATAGTGACAAATCTTTGATTTTATTCAAGATTTCTGGTTTGTTTTTGAAATCACTAAACAGTTCTTCAGATGCACTTATCAAGCAGGATTTTGATATACTCACCATTTGTGAATGGTTTGCCTTCTTTCGCAATTTCTAGTGATACTGCGAAGCTTGCCGGATTGACATTACTTGTAAATTGGGTCCATAATATGGAACTTGATTGCTGTTTTTGTTTTTGGAGCTCATCGGCAGCTTTTTTTAGTTCTTAGCCGACTTGATATCGGTGTCTAATCATCGTTAATCGATTCAGAAGGCTTTTTAAAACTTTTTTTTGGTAAAATAAATAATATTTGCGTGTGGAACTAAAGAGCCGCAGCTTTACATCCAAAGACCTGCATGCGGCTCGCGAGACGCAGGTAGCCGACCCCTGCCATAGTATCATATTAAATGAATGTGTGTGTGTGTGTTTTTATAAAACTTAAGGAATTACGAAATAAAGGATAAAAATAAAGTAGGTTTTATTAAAAACTATAAACATTTATAGTTCATTCCAACGTAGCAGAGATCACAAAACCATTTGAGATTTTACATTGACCAAAAGTTTGTATTTTGTAAAAACTAACATTGTAAAAAAATTTTAAGAATGAAAACTCAAGCTATTTCATAGAGACTGTTTACATATTTTTACACTGCGACATGAAAGATCTTTTGAAGCTACATGACACATTAATGTATAATTATTATTAAAATCATATCATAAGAGCTACTTACTTGCAATTTTTCTTCAAAAAAGTGACTTCTACATACTTTTCACTTTACAGCTACTATATATTATGACACCTGAAAAGTTCTCATTATACTGTTTACACGATATAATTCATATAATGTCTAATAAAACAAACTTTAAAATATCGATAGAACACGGCAACAATTATTTACAACGAAGATTTTACCACGAAAACTTAATTTTTATTCTGAAAAATCTAATGGCGTCTATGTTTCCCACAAACATTTGAAAATCGGAGTATGCGCAGTTCTTTCACTCTTCAAAGTATCAAAGAATATAAATGTCTAAATTGTATTATTTATCTATGAATATAAACACATGCATCTATATTATTTGAAAGTATGTAGGAATTGTATTTCAAAGCTATAATATAATAATATTAACATACGCAATACTGTAATCTCATTAAAATACAATAATGCAAAATTATTTTTCATATTGGTAGAAGTATATTATTTGCTTTTGTCTACATTTGCTTATTATCAAGTGAAGGTACTGTAAGTGTTATTTCTGATATAACTTTTAAATAATAATTTTATATTAGCTTTCCATTACATTTTTTACTCAGTAAAATATGCAATTTTATGATTTGTTTCACACATAATAATTATTGATTAAAATTATATGCGTCGCGTAATGTTGGTTGCATAATCGTAGGAATACAATTTGAAAAAGTTATAAATAGAAGTTATAATTATGAATTTACTTATTAGTTATGGATTATAAATACCCTTAGCAGTATCATTATTCTAAAATGTTTGGTACTATTAATTAAAAAGTGCTATTAATTATATAGCAGGGAAATCAGTATTTCTAGAAATTATTGGATTAAAATGAAGGCTGACGTCATAGACATTTGACAAGTTATAAAAGTTTATTACCGAAAACGTTGGTGGTGTATTCTGTGCCGAAAACCGAAACGAAGTTTGGATATCGCCGGAGTGATTGGAGAAAAATCAAGAATATTGTAGTTTGTCCCATTTTTAGAACAAATATTTATTTATTGGTGAGTACCAATCTGTATTTCGGTTATATATTTAACATATTTGGCATCAAAGACATTTCTGTAAGGTTGTTGAAACCTAATATAAACAAAATGGATTTAGTTAGTCATGAATTGTAATCTTATTTTTACGATTTCACAACTTGTCATAATATGTATATTATATCGATTGGGAAGTACACATTTGTTTTTTTAAATTAATTCTAAATCAAATCATATCAAAAGTCTGCATGGACAAGGTGAAATAGGCGTGTAAAATCCTTGAACTCCATGCTTCTTCAAGGTTTTTTTTCCACACAAAAATGTATTTTATAACCTGTGCACCCAACCAAAACTGACGTTTCCTAGTGTTACACTTATTTAAATAGATTTGGACTGTTAAATGACCTATAAAAATGTAATTGATGTATTTCTAACACTGCAAACTAATTCTTTACAATTCTATTTTGGTTAATTATTTTCACAGGCTTCATATCTACTTGTTATTAATCAACCTCTCACCTGATTTATGATTTGTTTGATCATTTAGATAAGATGCACTTGGTGAATGTATTAAGTTGACTGATATGGCTACAGCTTTTTTATATCTTATAATAAATTATGTTAATATTATTTGATTCAATATCTTCTTGTTCTCCTGTGAAAGTTCCTAATGTTCTAGAGTAGTCTAGTCACTTCATGACCTAAATACCTTTATTATATTTGTCTTATCCATTCACAAACAGTATCACAAAATTATAAATTTCTTAGTTATGCAGAGCTAAATCTTTAAAATATTGTTTGTGATTTTTGTTTTCCCATCATTAAAATTAGGTAAATATTTAAAGTTCTATGTATGTCTTTTGTTGATTGAATATGACAAACAGATAATTATTGTAGTTATTTTTGCATAAAACTGAATTCACTTTGTTGTAAAGGGTTCCAACATATCAGAACTTGATCTTTAAATCATCAGTAACTGATATTTCTAGAATTGTTTGTATCAGGCATCAGTTTGTTATTTATTTATTAATAATAATAATCTTTATTAATAGCACATGGCTAGAAAAATATACATATAGATACATTAATTTATACCCTTAAAATTAAATCACAATGCTTTGCTTAACATATATCTTACATAAATTTTTAAATTGAGCTAAGTTTCCAGAAGCCTTAATGTTTTCCGGTAATTCATTGTATTGCTTTAATCCCCTATAAAAAAGATTGTTCTGACCAAAATTAGTGTTGACCCTATTCAGATAAAAGTTATTTCTAGAACGTGTGTTGTGTTCATGTACATCTCGAACAAAGGTACAATTATTACACAAATGCACAGGTATCAGACCATTTAACATTTTATAAACAAAAATCATACTATTACATACAATTGTCTGTCTTACACTTTAAACATTTGCCATTGTTACCATGTCAGTTCTACTAGTGTATACACTACATCCTAATATTATCCTTAAGGCTTTATTTTGTTTTTTCTGCAGTATGTTCATTTGAGAAGCATTCATTAAAAACAGCAATGTAGAGCAAAAATAGAGATGGGGAGCAATAATCGATTTATATATGGTCAACCTAGACCAGCAACTTAAATTTTTTGACATTCTTCCCAATGCATATATTTTGTTTGCTATTTTGTTTGTAACAAACTTAAAATGTTCAACAAAACTTAAATTTTCATCTATAATACATCCCAAATACTTATACTGAACCACTCTCTCCAAAGTAATATTATTAATTTTTACATCTTTTATTATGTTATTTAATTTAAAATTTTTATTCTTTATAAGCATCATTTTTGTTTTAGTTACATTAAGACTTAAGGAATTATTATCGAGCCATTTTAATATATTACATATCTCTTCATTTATTATATTGATTATTTCATCTACCTTATCCCCTATTGCATATATCACAGTATCATCGGCAAACAACTGTACCTTACACTTTTTAACAACATCAACAATATCATTTATATACAGTATGAAAAGAGTAGGACCTAACACAGTTCCCTGTGGCACACCATACAGAGACTTCTGAGCCGATGAAATGGCACCATATTTTGTCACTTGTGTTCTATCAGTCAAATATTCTTGAAACCACTTTATAATTTTTTCACCAAAGCCATACCTTTCCATATTTCTCAATAGCAGTTGTCTGTTTATGGTTTCAAATGCACGTTTAAAGTCTAAGAAAACCACACCAATCATTTTCCCGCACTCCAGCGCACCCTTCCAGTCAAACAAAACCGTCTGCATTGCACTCTCACAGGAATTTCCTCTCCTAAACGCTGCTTGGAATTTAGTTAACACATTATTGCTTTCCAAGTACTCCACTATTTGATCA